TTTATTGTCATTATACAGTGTACAACGAGATTGGTGTTCATTGTATTCTTCAGGTAATATACCTTTAGTTGAACCAGGCATTAAAATGAACAAGAAACTGAAGAAAACAAGGATGGTCTAATCATTGTTTCCATGACTGTATATACATTTTGTGTTTGTGTGTGTGTGTGTATTGTGTGGATTTTTGTATGATTCTTCTTCTTCGGAATCAGGTTCTGGTTCGAACATGTAAGTTTTTGCTCAGAGATGTTGGTAAGCTGGTGTGCTTGCACTGCTGCCAGCAGGGGAAGGGCTGAGTGGAGAGAGAGGCAGGGAGGATGGTATTATTTTCATGTAAAAGCCTATGTGTAAATATGTAACTTTGATGAGATTAATTTTTAGGGGTTAAATCAACAACCAGAGATGGACAAACATATTATGGCACATTACTTTCATTTAAGTTACATGTTGGCTGTATGATACTGCTGCTGAGGATGCTGGCTGTGATGTAAAAATGCAGAACTGCATTCCTGACAGTAAGTAAATCTCCACAGGAACCTGCCACTGTGTGTTTGGCTTCTTTAATTAGCAGAGAAGGAATGAACGTGAGTGTGAAAGAAGAACTGTGGCGAATTAGAGATGAGCTGCAGTGGTTTCAGTTTCAGCTCTGCTCAACAGAAAGACAGAAAAAGACACCGAGCTGAATGTTTTTTTTTTTTTCTTCAGACAGCTTTGCAGAGAACAGGAGGAGTAAATCAATATGGTGCAAATCTAAACCTCTGAATTATTATTGTGGATGGATAATAGGAGAGGAATGTGAGCCTCTGGGAATCCACTGTGTGGTGGTGTGTTATCAATACCAGTGGAGGCTGAAGAGAACAGAGATATAAGGCTTTATAGCATGCAGTTATGCCTCAAAAGTTAAGTCACACCCCGTTTCTCCAGGTATTCAAGGCTGATTGAAGTATTTGCTATCACTTGTTCTGAAATTGAAATCTTTCTATAAATCAAATCTGGGTTAAAAAAAACTCAGAACTTTAAAACGAAAAGTTTGTTAAACCTGCTTTTCTGAAACAACTAAACCACACTGCAGGGATAGAATGGCAACAAAAAGCAGCCTGACAATTTGCTTCCAAGTGGCCCTAATGAGATACACATAAATACTAACTGTTTATAACTGTCACATTGTGTTTGTCAGTCCTGAATTTAAAAAAAAAACAACAAAAAACCACAATCTTTTCATTTGCATCATTTGTTATAGGGTAAAATGTAAAACAATTCAACTAATCTCAAGTTTTGCAAAGGATTTGGATTGTGCAGTAAAGCAGCCCTGCTTGGTTTTTTTTTTGTGTGTGAATTATCCATTTTAATCCCAGTGCACGTCTCCCCGATAGCACAAGTTCCACTCGTCACTATTTTGAGTGAACACCAAAGCTGCATTCTCCGTGCAGTCCAGCTCATGTCACCTGTAATTGGTTAAAAAAAAACAAAAAAACAAATTAGACAATGTATTTTTTCCCATGTGGTGAGATGGTAAAAATTAATAAATTAAAAAAAACTTAAAAAAATATTCAGGAGCGCTCCTCTAATTGGATCTTTGCTCGTGCTCTCTCCTCTTTCATCTATTCCATTTCTTTTTCAGGGTCATGTAAGCCTGGTTGTTTAGATCAGGGGTTCCCAAAGTGGGGGTCGTGACTCCTGAGGCCTCAAGGGGGGGTTGCAGAATGGTCTTGTTGTGCTCCATGCATAGTGCCCACCCATCTCATTAGTTGAGATCAACACTGAAACATAGTTATTCCCAAAATGTATATTTGCACAGCAACGATGTTTACATGTTCACTCAATGCCACATTTTATGGCTGTTACTCTGACTGAGATATTCTCCTGCTTATATGGAAATTAAAATGTATAAGTCAGTACTTTGCACATGACAACAACAATCACGGTTGTCAGGCGATTCTGTTCCTTTTTGTTGTCGTTTTTCCCGTGTTTGGATACACCTATTAGTGCGTGTATCCGTGTGCACGTTATAGTAGGTGTCACCAGTCTCAGGAACCTTTAATTTGGGAGTCACGGGCTGAAAAGTTTGGGAAACCCTGGTTTAGATTATAGTAGCGAGTAGTTAACAAATCATCCATCCATCCATCCATTATCTATACACCGCTTAATCCTCACTAGCGTCGCGGGGGGGCTGGAGCCTATCCCAGCCGACTTAGGGCGAAGGCGGGGGACACCCTGGACAGGTCACCAGTCCATCGCAGGGCTTAACAAATCATAATATGCAATAAAGGCTATATTGCAAAACAGAATTAATGAATAGTCTAAAAGAAAATCATTAAATTTACATGTTTATTCTACCCATTTAGAGTCAAATTTGACAACAATTTTTGAAAAACACTTTAGAGAAATTTAACGTACACTTTGTGCACTGACTCTAACTTGGAAATTGTTAAACTTGCAGTGGGGATCCAGCATAGAAATCCCTGTGGTTAACAGAAACATCGAGAGGGTTCCTTTAGTGAGCTCACAGTATAGAACATGTAAACATAACAAAGCAGCTGCTCACTCCTCTCTTAATGTTTTTTCTGATGTTTCTGCGGTATTGTGTGGATACATGCTGTAAAAGAACAAGTGATTCAGTGAACCAGACCACCTTCTTCCATTGCTTCATGGTGCAGTTGTGATCCTCACATGCTCATTGCACTTATTTTCAGTGGTGGACAGGTGTCAGCATGGGCACTCTGACTGATCTGTAGCCACACAGCAAACTGTAATGCACTATATGGTCTGACACCTTCCTATGGTTTTCAGAAAGTTGTAGTTGTAGGGTAGCCTTTGCTCCCCACTTGCATCAGTGAGCCTCGGGCGCCCATCACCCCGTTACTGGTTCATCTAATGTCTTTCCTTGGATCACTTTTGGAAGGTCCTACCCACTGAAGGATCACCTGCCGTTTTGGAGATATTCTTACCCAGTTGTATACCTGTCACAATTTAGCTGTTGTCAATGTCACACAAGTATTCATGCTTGCTCATTTATCCCCCTTCCAACGCATTAATTTGAACCGACTGTTCACTTTCTGCCTCATATATCCCACCAACTGACAGGTGTAACAAAATAATCAATGTTATTCACGTCACCTTTCAGTGGTTTTACTGTTATGGCTGCTGGGTGTAAATGGTAAATTCACTGTGATGTAGATTTTATCATTATTCTGAATTTCTTCTTCTTCTTCTTCTTATTGATAATTTTTTTATTTTTAAACAAATTGAGAATGCGAGTAGATGTTGTGTGACTCTCTCTTCCTAGAAAACTATGAACAATGTAGGGCTGGGCTGTATGGCTGAATTGAAATTCACAGTGTGAATTAACAGACAAAACAACAAAAACAACCCAACAACCCATAACTCAATTCGTTTTTCACGCAGATGTGTTTGGAATTATTGATTTTGAACATTGTAAAATAATACCTTGATCTGACCAATCATCTCACGCTACATGTTGCTCTGGTTAGTGTCACAATGACACGTTCTTGAAATCACAGATTTTGTGTTTACGTGATCACGTGTGTGTACACCTTTGTTGCATTCCGTTTCTTCTTTATTTTTAATATAGTCTTTCTCAAGTTTCTTTTTTCTTGATTGCTCATAAAAGGAAACACTCAAGTGTTCATTGTAGAAACAATGCAATTATTGACAGGTGATGCAATTTGGAATCATTTGACAGTTAAGTGATTTGTCACTGTGGGGTCTTCACTTCTGTAGTACATTTCTAGTCCAGATAAAACATCTATTTTCAATAATACTGAACTCTGACCAAGCCCTACTACAGTATAACTAGCAAGTACTGCAGTTCCATACCAAAGTGTTTCCATTTTAAATCAGTTACTAGTACTTTTCCTATTAAGGATCACAGAGAAAGCCATGGTGTTGGTACACTTCTATTTCATTTCAGTTAGATGGACATGCAAAAATATGAACATTTACCACCATGCAAGCATGAGTATGAAATCCTGACAGCACAAAATAAAAAATATCATCCTTTAGGACTTTGGGGATCTGTCCCCATCTAAAAACAATTCAACATGTATTAGGAATTAAGTTTGCAACAACAAATGAATATGTTCTCTTTCATGAGTATCAAATTATTGAAAAAACATTATGATTAAATTATTGGGGGGAAATAGTATGTGTATGTGCGAGTGTGTGTGTGTGTGTGCGTGTGTATAAAGTGCATGTTAACAACTTTGGATTCCTGATCCTTGTTGTGCTGCAACAACAGTTGACCTGTCATGATTGTCACACTGAACAAAAGCTACAGATGATCACTAATTCTTATGTGGAGCTCTTCCAGAGCTGTAAAAAACTGCTGTCTATACTGACAGAGTGGGAATGATCTTCAAGGCCTGACCAGCTTTAATTAGCGGACCATGAGACAAGCCAGTTTAAATAGATTCCTCCTCTCTCTGATGAATGACAATAAATTGATTGTGTCTGACAGTCTTTGGCCTTGACGTACATTGACCTTAGCACACAGTGTGAACAGTGAGAAACAGTGGGTTCAATCAGGGGTTACCTATTGTACCTATTACATGTCAAGTGGCATCTGTTAATCCCTTGTTTGACTTTGTCAGCTTGACTGATAAGTCTTGAGTTAAAGCAAATGTAGGGACACGAGTCACACATTAGATTAGGAGTTCATCAAGTTGGGACACAGATGGTGGAACTGTGAGCAGAAACTCACGAGTCACCAGCAAAATAAGCATCCAAAGTTAGCATCAGCAATTCCTGAAAGAAATGGCACTTAGTGGTTCATGCTAAAGCTAAGTTTCGCAACAGTCTGAAGTCTTGAACAGATCTGACTTTAAGCACCGCATGACATGAACTAGCACATGTCTGTGATTTACAGCTGGAAGAAAGTCTTCTGTTCTTGTTTGATCCTCCGAGGCTTTCCATCACATCTTTCAGTGATGGAGGGTTGTTAGGGGATATTCTTGGCACACGTCTTGAATTAAAATCCTAATCACTGAATATGTCAGCTCAAAATGTTACCCAATGTCTCTGGAGGAGGTGGTCCCCTTTTGTTTACTCGGGACACCTTCAGATAAGTCTGTACGTTGTTTTAAAGAGCAGTCTGTGACCCTGAGCTGGTTTCTCATCCGTGATGATGCACTCTGTCTGATAGGCAGGCTGGGACAGTGTCCAGGGGCCAGACTGTCAGCAGTGGCTAATGCAATAATTTTCCATCCAAACAGAGACTTGGGAGACAATTGGAGTAGTTTTTGCTGCACTGGCCATTGTCTGGTTCCTCAGGAAGCTTTGAAGTTCACTTGTGCATCATTCAGATTCTCAGCAGTAGAAGATGTCTCCCTCATTCTGAGGATCCAACATCACAGCAACTTTGTTCTCTAAAGAGACAGAGAAAGCATACATTTAGCCAACACATCGCTACAAGAACTTACACTTAGACTTCATAACTTACACTGTCAATAATAAACAAACAAGATATAATCCACATTAGTGAACTTTATAGGTACGCATAGGTGGATTTCTTCACCTCTGGGCATGACCAGACGAGCTGTTTTCCGTTTGAAGTCTTAATGCTACATTAAGTTAACAACAGCCTGACTGCAGCATTATATTTAACACACACAGACATGAAAGTAGTGTCCAAATAAACATCTGACTCTCAGCTGAAAGGTGATTAAGTGTAATTTCCCACAGTACCTCTTATTTAGGATTAGTGGGTGTTACAGGTATTCTTTCCCCTATTTACTGATACAAGTGTGAACTTCAGGACAGAATGTGTTGATTTTACCTATCTCTGTCTGATCGCCTCCTTTCCCTTTCTTCTTCTTCTTGTCTTTCTTCTCTTTAGGTTTAGCCAGTTGGAGCAGTTTTGTGGGGAGCTGGGATTCCCTCTCTGCTCCTTGAGGCTTAGAGGTGGAGGCAGAGGAGAAAGGGTTGAAGTTTTTGCCCATCCGCTTGGATCCAATGCGGAGGAAAGGTTCCTTAGTCGGGGCAGAAGATGAGAGCTCCACCTACAGAACATCCATAAACTCAGATTTGTTGTAGGATTCCTATAGCAGCCTACTAAAATGCAACGAACACATCTGCTTTTTAAAGAATGACTTCACTTTTTACCTCTTTTGGTGGTTCTGCTACTTCTTTTGAACCCAGATCCAGAGACCCTGAGCTGTGGAACCGTAGGGAGTCTTCTAAATTGGTGAGGGAAGTTGACTGGTACCTTTGAAGCTGCTCTGACTGGAAAGATTATTAAATAATGCAAAGAGACATAAGATACATTAAAGGATCATTCTGTTTAATTCCATCTTAACATATTGTACATTAATGTGGCTGCTATGAGTCTATGGGTCATGCTAACTTTGCATTCTCTCCCTGTGAGATTTGGAAAAATGCTGAGTTGCACAAAACAGATTGCACACAACATGTATCAGAGCAAAAATTCCAAGTTCCATGTTTTTTTCTTCCTAACTGGATCTGATCAATCTATTTTTACTGCAGGCTTTTAGGGTTGCTGTAAACTAAAACAAAATTACATTTTCTACATATTTCTCTTTGGTGACATTAATTTACGTTGCTATGCAGATGACACCCGGTTGTATCTCTCAGTGAAGCCAGAAGAAACAAATCAGTCAAACTTCAGGACATAAAGATTTGCATTTCTGGAGAACTTCAGAATTTGCACTGTTTTTGGGCTCTGTTGATAAACAGCATGTACTGTTTAAAGCACATGCTAAGTCTTGCTGCAACCACTTCAGTTATAACTGTGTTACAGGTGAATTCTAAAGGTGGGATGAAAATTCCCCTCTTACAACCTCTCCTGACAACAAGGATTTGTTCTCCTGGAGCATGAGCACTGGACATGCCTGCAGTATAGACAGTAGGGTCTCAAATTTTTGGCTGCATGCATGGAAGTTCATATACACCCTTGTGTTGGATGACTAAGTTTATGTCACACTACCCTTGCAGACATGAGGACGTGACAAGCATGAATTGGCCTTCAGACTGGGTCTGTGCTAACCACACTGGCTAAAAAACATTTTAAATACATTCATATAACTAAGCGTTTGTTTCATGACATACAGAGATGGGCAGTGGTCCAGGAAGTACTCAGATACTTACGTAAAAGTACTTAAAGTATGTTACTACCACACTATAAAAGTCTTGCACTAACACCTTTTTACTGAAAGTAAAAGTATGTCAGTATAATCAGGAAAATGTACCATAGTAGTAGAAGTAAAAGTACTCAGAAAAATGTCTATTGTGAGTGGAGGAATTATTAGGCTGAATCAGAATCAGAATTGCTAAACCATACCCAACCCTACTGTGTCAACACCAGTATGATGTGTGTAAACTCTTGACTCCTCTTATTGTTGCACAGCTTCAACTTTTTGAACTACATAGTCCACGTAGAGTCAACGCAACCTGTGTGGGTGTACCAGGGTAGAAAAGTCAAACCTGTACTTGTGTTCTTAAAGTTTCATTTACCTGCCTGTATCATAAGTGGACTGTCTATGGGGAAAATCTCTGACCTGGTCTTTGGCATATAGCCTCTCTGTGTCTCTTCTTAGCGCCTCCTCTTCTCTCTCCAGCCTCCTCTGTGCCTCTCTCAGCCTCTCCAGTTCTCTTTGGTACTCGTCTTTCTTTCTCTGTAATGTCTCCGTTTCCGCCGTTAGTTGCATACGCCTTCTCCTGGTCTCATCCTCCTCCACTCTTAGCCTCTCCTCCCGTTCTGCCAGACCTTTCTCTTTTAACTCCCACTTCTTCTCTCTCTTTCTCTTCTCTTCCTGGTGTGCAGCCTGTTGTTTCTGAAACAAACCACAAAGGGGTGTAAATATTATACTATTTTTTTCCCAATTGCTAAAACACAGTTCTTGAAACTTCCACCCATTTTTTCAAAACTTTAAATTATCACCTCAAAACCAAACAATGATCAGATCATGCACACAGCAAGTCAAAATATATTCACCACAGAGCATTCGCTAGACCAGGGGTGGGCAATCCTGGTCCTCGAGGGCCACAATGTTTTAGATGTTTCCCTCTTCCAACATACCTGATTCAAATGATCAGGATCATTGGCTTCTGCAGAGCTTGATGATGAGCTGATCATTTGAATCAGGTGTGTTGAAAGAGAGAAACATCTAAAACATGCAGGACTATGGCCCTCGAGGACCAGGATTGCCCACCCCTGCACCAGACACTACATAAAATTATTTGGCACACAACCTCCAGGGCGTGTAGTTAACAGAAAATGTTTCTTGTAAACGTATTTAGCAAAAACTGTTGTAGTTAAAGTGATATCTACATTCAGCACTTTCATAACAAAAAAATAAAAACAAAAATAAATGAAAAGCACATTACTGCACAATCAAAGTCACTGAGATTCATTCTCCAACATCATGTCTGTGTGCCAGGTCCAGCCAGAGGACTTCATCCACGTCACAGGCAATACTTCCCCTTGCCAGACAATGGGGGAAGAACCCAGCCTTGACAGGACTCCACAGCTATATCATCACAGGACTGTTCAATTGTTTCCAGTAAAGTTTCCCTGGTGTAAGGCTGTGTATGACTGACAGCCAGGGAAAGTTTTATTTTTGAACAGTACTGTTCAAAGGTTTCATACAATCAAGCCTTCCACTGCCACACAGAGAAAAACTCCTCTCATGCACATGACTTCTGTCCTGTCCAACTGGTCTGATCACGTCATTAGAAACATTTTTGTTCAATTTTGAGTTGTTGTGTGTAAAAGATAACAGTTGTGTTGGAGTTGTGTTTTGTGATTGAAAGTGTGTTTAAAGTTTAGCAAAAAAAGAGCAGATGAGTTTTGCAAATGGAGTCTAAGTACCTGAACAGTGTTTGAGGTTTGGCAAAAAGAACATTTGATTCCAAAAATGAGTTAAGCCCACCGAGAATTTGGTTCACAGAATGAGGTTTAGTGTTTTAGCAATTGAGAAAAACTGTAACTGGAAGACAGTAATATAGATTTAGGTGTAGACAGTACCAGAGTAAAACTTGGAATGCATGATTCTGTTGACATCATCATCTACATTAACCGATAAAGGCAGATAATACATGTCAGGCTAAATTGTGTATTTATCACCTAGTCAAATTTGGTTGGAAAATATTGGCATGTGGACATTGACAAGAATCCAATATCATGCATTCCTAATGTAAACACATGTGAAGTGCACAGAATCCTATAGATTCATATGAAACAGAGAGAGTGTCAGTCCACTGCAGTCAGGATTGATTATGTGAAAGCAGACAGAGTGCAGAGAAGGCAGCAGTAAAAGCAAACCTGTAGGCTCGCCATCTCCTGTCTTTGTCTCTCCAGACTCCTGTGCTTCTCTTGCTCAATAAGAGAGGAAGGGCGGGAGGAAGATGAGGACGACAGTGAGGAAGACGACGAGTGTCTGGAGGAGTTGGTGGCAAACCGGTCGTTCAGGGCCTGCCGCTGGTCCTCGATGAATGAGTCCTGCTGGACGACCACTGCCTAGAGGTCGGAAAAGATAGTTCGGAAATGAATTATAATGAAGCACAAAAAAACAAACAAAAAAAAATACAACCTGACTATACTGACTGTAGATAACATGTAGGTGTGCCTCTGGTACCTGCAGTGAAATCAGCAGGTCATGAAGATGTGTCACACTGTGCAGGACCTGCTGGAGAAACACGACATTTATATAATGTTAGGTAAAGATGGCTTTAATTTTAGATGAACAGGTTTAGCTTCAACTTAAACATGGTAACATGACTCCCATTTGCTCAAAATGATGATGCTGGCCATCGGTTTTCATCTGTGCTGTTCTATTGTTATGAACAAACCAAATTTCAACAGGGGTGAGACAATCAATAATTTGGAGCAGAAATCAGACAACACAAACCAAAGCTAAAACACACACAAAACAGTTGCTGCACAGTCATTTAAGTTTCAGTGAAACAATTTATTTATATGACCCAATGCAAATGCGTTATCTCTGGTGAATTTAGTAAAATAAAGTGATTTTGATGAAGTATTATTATTTTAAGTTTGGATTTGTATAATTTTACCAATGGAACGTCATGTCACACATGATTGGTTTAAGGACTGTGGAAAAGTTGAAAATTTAGCTTTAGCATGTTGCAAACTTGTTTCTGGCTATAATTAATGGTCTAAATTTGGTGAGCTTTTAAAGACAACATGGTTCAGAGGTTTTAAAAAATACCTTACCTGAACTATCATCTGCTTTGCCTACAGTAAGTGTTGCCATATTTATTATGTAGACCTATGGTTGAATACCAGTGTAGATTTGATCACAGGATGGCAAAAAAACCCAAGAAGTGTTTCTGATTGTAGCTGCAGTGTTGTAAACACCAAACCCACACACTTACTTCATTGTTTCTCTTTAGCAGCATCTGCAGACTGGCTGTTGCTCCCTGAGGCACACATAAACGTAATGTTAACATTTTCAGCACATTTAACATCCACACAATTATACCAATACACTATGGTAACTGCATGGTTCTAGAAGTGAGAGGCTCAGAAACGCCTGACCCAAATTTGTGTTTGTTCAAGCACCAAATATATCAATCTATCTATTGTTGTAAACAGACTGACGACATAGTGTGTTCATGAAGGATTTTGTTGGATGTTAAGTCCTAAAAGGAGGTACAGTACTGTTTAAAGGTTCATACAATCAAGGCACAGGGAAGATGTTTTCAAAAGATGTAATGAATGATCTTAAATTCATTAGTGAAGTTGATACAAAGTGCCATGAAATAAACAAGAACATCAAATCAACATTTGGTATGAGCACGATTTGCCTTAAAATGGAATCATCTCTCCTTCGTACACCTACACCAATTTTCAGGGTAGGTGGCAAATAAGCTGCTCAGCACCTTACACAACTTTTTGCAGTTTTTCCTGTGAATTTAGACTGTCGCTATAACTGTCAAGTGAATTTTAAGTGAATTTTGAAATTTCATCTGTTTCTCTTAACTGCTTTAATCTGAGTAGACTAGACCAAAGGTTAACTAATGCTTTGTTTATCTGGTCCAAGAGTTGATTTTAAAGTTGTACGATAGTTCGTCATGCATGTCACGTTCACATGTATACGTAACCAGCTACTGCCATGAGACAAGATGTTGCATCACACCTTGCTGGCAACCTAAGGACCTGCGTTCCACATGTTTTTGTGACAACTGGTAGGTGCACAATACTCATTTCTTTATGGGCCACAAACTGGAGCAGAGAACAAACACTCTGCATCAGCCAGAAGCTGAGATGACTCAACCCTAATGCTGAGGATCATCACTTGTAATGAGAGGTGGGTCTGTGGCTACCACCGAGAGAAGAAACAGCAGTTTTCACAGTGGAAGAATTGCAGCTTTCAAAACCAGACATGGCACATCAGGTCAGGAGCATCAGGAGCATTCTCATTGTTACCTTCAACACTAATGTGGTGGTGCACCAATAAATAATCCTCCAGGGTCAGACTGTCAAGGCAGAGTCCTACGGTAATGTCCTGAGGTGTCTGAGAAAAACCATTTGGTATGAAACTACATGAACTGTGGTGCAATGGCATGTGGGTGCACTAATGAGCTCGCATGCCAGATGATGATTGCATGGGACAATTTTTTGCCCACAACAACAAAACTGTTGCTCTCCACCCGCCCTGCTCACCAGCCACTTTTCTTTTCTTCCCCAAAATTACATTTTTGTGGAGAAGTTGCTATTTTAACACAGATTGAGTACTCATTTCAGGTGGTGCTTTACATGTATATATAACAGGACTTCTAGGGAGCACAAGTGCTAGGAGAGGTGTATCACTGCACAAGGAGACTACTTCAATGGGGATAATGGAGGTGCAGTTTTTGATTTTTACTGACGCAGTCTTGTAATTTTTTCATTCCCCCTTGTGCACTGGGACTGACATTAATGTATCAAAAGAGATTTAGGAACCAAATGCCTTCATAGTTAGTGCATTTGGCAAATATGTATTGCATGGAAACAGACACCTTTTTCAGCACGCTGTCTGACTCAGTCCTGCGGAGGTCCAGTGAATCATCTCCCTCTTCCTTCTCTCCATCTGACAGGGAAGATTATAGAGGTGAGTCAGGTTTGCCACAGCAGGTTGGGATAAAGCTGCTTTTATGTATTTGAAATAAAACAGTTTTTCAAAGGAAACTGAACAACAGTGATGACTTAGAAATGACTGCATTACACCTGCTCTCAGGTGGAGCAGCAAAAGACAAAGACATTTCCATAAGTACAGACCAAAAGACGCTTGTGTTTATTAACCTACATGTGTGATTTTAGACATGAGTGCACGTGTCTTACTTTTGCTGCTGTTCATCTGATGACTATCAAAGCCTCCGAATGTTTCAGCTCGCCTGGGCAGACAGACTGGTCCCATACTGCCCCCTGTCCCACCAACTGGAACTTTGCAGTCTGCTCCACCAACACCACAGCTCACTAAAGCATGCAGGGTCTCCACTGATAGAGATGGACAGTAATGAACAAATATCATCTCTAGCAAACACACACAATACAATATGACCTGAGAACCTTGCTAACCTTCTCTCAGGACATCATTTATGATTGGCTCCCCCTTTGTGACATCATCAGGTGTGACCATGAATAGCATCCGCTCCCTGACTGTTCGGTTTGTATCCTCAGGGACAGGATTGCAGTCACCCAACTCTCTGAAGATGTGGACCTTCTCCTCCAACAAAGAGATGATCTGCTCATCTTTTCTCCTTAGAAGTGCTGGAAAACAAGACCAATGAATGCATGAGCAATTTTAATACAAGGACATTAACTGTCCAATACAACAGAACACAATTCGTGGCTCTTCACCTCGAATCTCCTTTGCTCTGTTCTCCTGCTGCCGTCTGTCTTCTTCTGTCTCGCTGGGGAGTCCCTCATCCTCGTCTTTCTCCCTGTGAGCAGACAAATACAATCTGAGTGTGATGTTCACATCATGCAGGTCAGATTTTACATTCAAACAAATGCAAGAAATCTGCAGGAAAAAAAAAAACTTCGATTCAACGACATCAAAAGGACTTTTTAATTGCTTTAGTGCATCATGTCAGATATGTGCGTACACACACACACACACCTGTTAGAAAATACCTAATTTTAACAGAATAATGAATCAAGCTACTACTTTTCTTTCTCTTCGTCTTTTAACTCATCTGTAAAACATCATCCAACTCAACAATGAACAATATTTAATTCATATAAATAATCAGACCTAATAAATATATACGGAAAACACTCTGGGAAAATGTATAATCCTGCTTGCTCAGACAATCCTGAACAGGGCATGTCTTTGTGTGTCTCAGATTAAAAACAGGAAATACAGTGTACACTGATATCTGTAGTATAGAAATGGTTGTGGTCATGCTCTCACTGAGATGAACATAAATATAAAAATGGAGCAGTTCTAGATCAGGCATTGCAATGACACGACTATTGGCACTTGTGGAACTTCTCTGGGCATTGTATCAGGACATATAGTAAATGTAAGATCCCGAGTTCAAGACCTTACAGTGAGAGAGAAACCCAAGTAGTGACTTATACAGGTTTACTGGTTTCCGTGATGGTGGCAGTTGTGAGAAGCACTGTGTTAATGTAGGCAGAAGTGTCTCTTCTGATAGCACACTGGGAGGTTGACTGTGTTTAGTCTGGCCACAGTTTTCATCCTCAGCTCAGTGGACACAGCTGTCTTGACTGGTGGTGGCGTAGCATCTAGTTCCTTAACACAGCTGTACTGTATTGGGGTCAACTCAGTGTGTCTGCTCAGTAGTGTTTTCGTTCTGTTGGAACCTCTCCTGCTGTTGAAGAAGCGTCCTTCTACTGATGTTACAGCACTGAACTATCAGCTGCTTCATAGGCAGCATGGGGGTCTTCTGCTATCATTCTGCTTTTCCTTCTGCATGTATCATTGCTGTTATAGTAGCGGGGGTGTAATTAAATACATACATGTGCTGTTCCACTCATAGAAAACAGCGAATGTAGGTGCGCTCCACATTTCATGAGAAGACCACATTTTTAGGTGTAAATACCACAGTCCACAGAAGTTATAAATGTCTGCTTTCCACCACTGTGGTTAACATAGTAGCTTCCTGTGCCGGCTACAGTGACACCAAAACAGCTTAATAATCATCATGCACTTGCATGAATGCGATCAGTTGAAATTTTAACTTGTGCATACAAGAAATTGTCGCAATTGTCAGGAGCCCTGCCTATGCTGGGAGAATAAGACAATGGCATATGTTGACATGTCAACGTTATGAATGCTCTCCTTCAGAATAAGAATGAGAACATAATGTGTGTGTGTGTGTGTGTGTGTGTGACCTCACATGCTGTGCATAGCGTCCTGTATAATAGCCTTCCATGTGTTGCGCTCCTCCTTGCTGCTGGCTAAGACCTCCACCATTTCTGGTCTCTCCGTGCCAGCTGTGATCAGAAACAGACCTGCAGGAAACACCATCCGAATCATTTCATTACGAAAAACACCATATGGACGTTAACAAGGTCAAAAACTTGATTTTCACTGGAGGGGGTCCTTTAAAGTTTCCCAGATGGCTGTGATGCTGTGTACGGAAAGATAATGAAATCAACAAAACAAATGCAGCAAAGTGAAAAAAGAAAAAAAAGTCTGACCTCTCTCTTCATTTGCCACTTCTCTGACAATCAGATTCTGTAAAGAGATGACCGTGGAGCGCTGGTCCTGAGGACAAAGGGTCCAAATCAAGTTGAATTTTCGTGAAAATTAATGTGGACAGGCTGAGTGGACACCAGTTAGCCAGGACGTAAAAACCACCTGCCTAATATTGTGTCTACTCGCTCAAACATTAAAACACCTCTGACATCCTTAAGCGCACGGCTTACCAGTGAAGCAAAGACATATTTCTGGTCTTTTTCCTGAAGGAAGACCAATACATCAGACAGGAGCAGGGCATTGACTTCTGCAACACAAACAAACAAAAAAACACTGCAAAATCCTGTCTGCTGTCTGAATGGATTGTGATACATCATTTACACAATTTAGAAAAAAAAAAATCTTGTAGAACAGAACTAAACATCACGAACCTTTGAGTCGTCCAACAGAGTTTTTTAGCTGCAGTGATCCGTCATGCAACAGCTTCCTCCCTCTGATCAAGTCCTCTTTAGCAAACATCTGTCCGCTCTTCATCCTCATGATTGATTTACTATCAGTGCGACTGGAGATCATAGAAAACACATGAACAGGTTGACACTGAGCACTGGCCTACTTATGCCTGCCCTTCCCTCTGGAAGCCCTTGTTCTTTATATACAAATACATTTCAAGAAGGATGTAAATGGAACACAGGGGCAAAAACTAGGAAGGCATGTGATGGGCATAAAGGTTGACGCTACTTACATCTGTTACTGCTCTATAAGGAGACTCTGTTTTTTTTTCATTCATTTATTATCATTTTTTTTGTGCAGGTATTTCAGATAACATTGATTGCCTAAATTGACTATAATAGACAATCTGTTATCTGTAAAATCTGCAGCAGTGGACTGGAGGGAAAAAAAAGGACACTCAAAGAAGTAGACTAAAGTAAGTCTCCCTCAACAGAAAGCAGCATTTTAGTCAGTTCTTTACATTTTACATAACCTCACAGCCTCAACTGCCCTCATGGTCTAATTCATCCACCTGATCAAGGAGCTGATATACTTTACCAGCAGTAAAGTTATTGACTTTGGGCCTAAAACAGTTTACAGACAGTATGATACGTGGTCAGCCTGGAGTACCTGTAGACCTCCCTCAGTCTCCGTTTCTTCTCCTGCTCATTGACTTTACTGTCCACGGCCATGATGAGCTCCTTTACACAGCGCAGTGCTTCAGAAACACAGCTGTGGTCTTCATCGGAGTCTGTCAGACCACAGAGTTGGAACATTATTTCCGGTATCACAGATTCAATGCCGATGTTTCACATACATTACGGCACAGTTTTCACATGGATTCTATCTTTACCTTTCGTGTGCTGAAGTATCCTCTGGATCAGAACAGGATATTTAGTGATCCTCTGGGTAACCAACAAAATACACTCCGGTATACTGAGCCTGCGCACGATGCTGCTGCTCATTATCCTCTGCACACACACAAAGACACCAAGGCCATGAAGAAGAGCCAATGTAAGTGTGATCTTCTACTATTTGGTGCGTACAAAGATGAGTTGGTGTGAGACGAGTGCTGACCTTGATGAAAGCCTGGAAGCGTTTATCTTTGGCATGCAGGTCTTTATAGTGATTGACGGCCTCATTGTGGCGACTGCAAAACTTTCCATAAACTTTCTTCATACGGTCAGACTTGCACCCTGAAAACTGAATTATTTATTAACAACATTTTATTAAAAGGAAGGTAAAAAAAATACAGATAATGTTAGAACCAATTTAATTATTAAATTCAAATTCAGAGCAGACATCAATAAAATTAATTGTGAATATTGTTATCCTCACACAATCTTTCCTTAGACACCATTTCTCTTCCAACTCATGAAGAACTGAAATAAACTGACTACCAAGTCATCTACTAACCACATTCATGCTCCCTGGAATTTCTGCCAGTGCCAGGTTAAAATGTCAAATTGTATTAAAGATATCTTTCTTAACTCTGAAGAGAACCCTTAAGGCCAATTCATGTTTTCTGTGGCCGTGTGATGTCAATTTCATCATACATCTAAGTCCTGGAGGGTCTGCGTGGACCCCTCGGCAGATGTGATTTGTGATTGCAAGACTGTGCATGTGCAAGGAAAACAAATGGTACGAAAAAACAATGCTTGTTGTGAGGACAGATCTTGTAAGGAGGCTCTCTATCATCCTGACTTTACAAGGCATTAAAAGAGTTCAAATTGAAACAGTAGCTGCAGGACTCGTGCATGTCTGTGAAGATTCTCAGTCATCCAGGTCATGCTTATTCTCGTAGATTACAACTGGACTTGCTTGAGTTCCTTGAAGACGTTTCACCTCTCATCCAAGAGGCTTCCCCACTGTGGCAGGGGGAGCACTAACGACCCACATAACGAAGGGGAGGAGCAACAAATCCCCAACTGAAACTGAACTCAGGTGTTAATGGCTCCTTAAGGATATAAGTATCTGGAACTCCCAACTAGTCAGTCAGAACTGATGAAGCCTCTTGGATGAGAGGTGGAACGTCTTCAAGGAACTCAAGCACGTCCAGTTGCTACAATTAATCTACAAGAAAGACTTGTACATGTTTTCCATTGACGAAGCCTAAGTAAAGTGAACTGTCTAAATTCTTTTTTTGTATGTGCTCTGCCCTCTAATGGGCTTCGTTTTTTGTTAACTTATTGAGGTTCCGCCTCGACACCCTATTTATGAGTACATGCGGAGCGCCCTCTTGGCACCCTGGCCAATCAGGGGGTAGCAACCACGCACCGCGGTCCAATATGTAAGCCCCTGCACCTGTTGCTCATCTCCCTTTTTTGCTGAGCCACTATGAGGACGGATTTGTACGAGACAAGTCACGCACCAGCTTACTGGACAAAATGACCCATCAGCACATCAAACTGCTTTCCGGAAAGGTGACTGAGGTCCAGACTATGATGGCAGTTATTCTCTATATGGCGCAGGCATAGGTAGTCAATGGCAGTTGTTCCATATGCACTGCTTAACTCTGTCAGTGTTATCTCCGGCTGTCTCCGCCAGATCTTTTTTTTAAAAATACTGTGTTGTAATTCTGTTGTGTTGATGTCTTTCAGAGAAGAACAATGACGATAAAGTTTGTTGTGTCTTAGGTAGAGATCAATAGACTTTAGGTCAGATACCGAGCTTTCTGCTGTTTTTTCACTTGTCTGCAGCTGTCTGCCACCATCAGCTCCCATACTCGGGACGTCTGTAGAACTTTCACAGTCATTACTATGAAAAGTCACGTGAATAATACCATGTATTGTACTGACTGATTATTAACCTATTCAGTAATTTTCAAAGAAAACACTTTCTTGTAAACTGATGGAAGGACAATTCACAGCAGAGTACACAACAGGTGCTTTAAAACCCTAATAACTCTCTGGGTAAATTCTTCACCATAGTCTACCTATCAAACATCTTCACCACTAGATCCGGTGCTGTTTTTCTTCTCTTGTTGTTGGTGTTGCTCACCTGGTTGAGCAGGATGTCCCCAACAGCGTAGATGAGGAAGTTGTTACCGTTTTGTGCTTCGGCTGATGTGGCTCGTTTCCTCTCCAGAAGCAGTGTGAGGAAATGTGTGTGCATTTCCACCAGCTCATCCAAAACAGGGAAAATCTAAGGAATATGATCCAAAGACTGGCCGTTAAAAGATGTATTTTCATCATCATTTGTCTAATTAGAGTTGCTTATTTGTCCACAGGAGAAACCACTTGTCAGCCTACCTTGTCCAGAGTTTGAGTATCAAGTTGCACCTCCTTCTGAAGGCCTTTATAATACACTTCTGACATGATCTTCAGTGTCCTCACGTGGTGAACCTCTGTCTGGTACAACTCTGCACAGAGATAATACTCTTATCTGCATGTATGGACACTACAGGAGACTGTACATCTGAAGTTTCTTCTCCGCCCAATAGAGTTACAACATGTCTTACCATAAATTATATCTTGTCTCTTGATTTCATCTTTCTTCAGTGTTTTTAGGAACTTCTTATCCACCTTGCCGCTCCAAGAATCAGCCTCCAGATCTTTAATGTCATACTCAAACTCGCCCATTAGCTGACTGTCAATCACCTCGGTACCTTCACACATGAAGACAAAAAAATAGAATAACACACCAAGAAATTTGGTTCAAAATCCAAATTTATCAGCTTTGTAAGTACATTTTCCCCAGTTTTTCTACTTATTTTCATTGTGTGTGTGTGTGTGTGTGTGTGTGTGTGCACTTGTGTGAGTGTACCTTCATCTGTTAGTGACTCAGTTGAGGCGTTGACTTTGCTCCCCTGATGGAGAGAGTCGGTAGACTGGGACAGAAACTTAAGGCCTTTTAGCGGAACGTCATCTAACCTATGAAGAACAAAACCAAAAAAGGTCATTGAGAATTTAGTGGCTTTGCCTTTTACAAATAATAATAAATATAACAAGGTTAACAACATTTATTTGTAGCATATTTGTTGAGGCTGCTTCACAATAACACACAACATACACTATGACAACATAATAAGAGTAACAATGAAAAAAAAAAGAGTTTGGATTCATGTAGATGAAGGAAATGAATTCAAAATGGATAAAACATCCCACTAACTGCAGAAATGTAAGAAAATGAATTTGGGAATAAGACAGTGTTCCTAAGAGATGACAACTATTTTTTTAGCATACCTGTGCTGTCATTTCTGACACTTCAGCTGATATCATGATATCAAATTACAGTATCAGCCTGGGGTGATATATAAAATTAGGGTGTGCATGCAAACTGTGACGCCCAACAGAACACTTTGGATTTATTTAGTTTTCATGTGACTTCAGGTATTCACTGTATGTATCAAATGGGCATAAACACCAATCACAATTAAGGATAACATTATTTTGAGAAGGACACAAAGTAAACAATTGCCTAAATAGACTGATGTTTGCCATCATGTCCAGCATTTTTTTTTTTTTAATGACCCTTTTTGGGCGCTGCACAGTGTCACGGTGGTTAACACCGTCGCCTCACAAAGAAGTCCCGTTTAGGAGGCCTGGGATCTTTCTGTGTGGAGTTTGCATGTTCTCCCCGTGCAGCGTGGGTTCTCTCCGGGTTCTCCGGCTTCCTCCCACAAGGTCCAAAACATATTGAGGTTAATTGGTGATTCTAAATTGTCCGTAGGTGTGAATGTGAGTGTGCTTGGTTGTCTCTGAGTGTAGCCCTGTGATAGACTGGTGACCTGTCCCGGGTGTCCCCTGCCTTCGCTCTAAGTCGGCTGGGATAGACTCCAGCCCCTCTGCGACCCTAGTGAAGATTTGTTGGTGTATAGATAATGGATGGACCCCTAGTGGCTGAAGCAATATGTTGCTTTAACATAGCATTTAATGTAGTAGAGCGCACGTTAGCAGAAAGCATTTGCATAAACATATTGATGCCAAGCCAGTGAGGTTTCTCACCCTGCTATGTTGCTAGTGGAGGTGCTCTTGGACAAGTTGCTGTGTGCGTTGAAAATGCTGGGGTGTCTCCGTGGAAACATCGCAGGAAGCTGGTCATCAGGGGTGGTTGTGGTAGACCAACGCTCCCGTGAGGATGAAGAAGATGTTGATGACAGAGATGATGCTGAAGACGTAGCTAAATAGAAACATTAAATCAAGAAATATAGATTCATAATGGAATATTCTCACTGAGAATGACTCGTCTTCATCAGTAGACTACTGACAAGGTCAAACTCATACGGTGGCCTATTCTTCACTCGTACATCCTACCTTCTAAATACTCCCTGAGTGTAATGTTGAAAATGTACATGTATAACGTATGAATAACTACAGTGTGTCATGTTAATTACTGTCTGTGTGAACACAACGCATAGTGGGGTAAATTACACGACACACTGAGGACCTTTTAAATCTTGCTAGTATTGTATTTCACCGTCAGCTACTAACAATTAACCAACTAAGATTTGCCATAAAGCAACGTAAGCATTTTCAATCATATACTTGACAAAAATGTCAATAGATGTGATATTAATCCATTAAAAAAAGTGAGCACACCTTCAGAAGCTAGTATTGTCCCCTTAGCAGATGCAACTTTGTTAGGTTTTCTCTCTTCTTTGGTCTGTGCCAAACACGTCTACTGCTACTGTGGCTGAGCAACTCTATCTTTGTTTCATCCACACAGAGCAAATTATTCAAAAAGTTCTTGGCAAACTAAAGGTTTGCTCTTATGTTTTTTTTGGACAGCAAAGGCTTTTTCTTGGCACAATCCCATGCAGGTCAAATTTGGTTTTGCATGCGGTGGTCTGCTTTAGGGGCTGGATTTGCTGCTGCAAGCAGTCCTGGAAAAACTGGTAGCTTTTCTCCTGGAAAATTTCTAATGGAATGATTTATATCTAAATATTTTCACCTTCTTAGGTCTCTTGCCAGTCTCATAGACATCTGTAACCTTCTATTCTCAAAGCCTTACAGAGCTCTTTAGATCCAAACATGATGACACCATACTCTTTAATAACAGCAGACCCTCAATGTCAGAGGTTTAAATAAGACTTACATTTACTCCTCATGTTAACAGCTGACCCAGGAACAGCTGCTGGTACCAGCGATTGCTGCTGAAGACAAACACAGGACATAATTAGGTGAAAAGTAAAACACTCGATATATTAATAATAATTTTTGGTCTTTACAGCATACACTATCTTACTGTGAGGTTTGAGGGCTCCTGTTGATCAGCAGTAAAAAATGTGTACTTCTCTGATACCGTTCAGTGTTTGAATAATACCTACCAACTTATTTATGTGGCTATGTACTGTGTTGTATATAAATAGCACGTTGCTTTGACTTTTTATTAACTAGACTGGAAAGACTGTATTTCAAGCATCTGTAACTGAGTCAGAAAGAACATTTCTGACATCCACAACATCATTTTTCCAGAACAATCAATGCCACATTTACCATTCATTTGTTTCTATAATTCAGCTGCAGGTATCTGGTATACATTGTCCTTTAGAGATTATTAAATCAAGTTTGAACTACAGTCAGAATTACATTATGGATTTCTTAAACTGGAAATATGACTAGTCAGGTGTCGATCTTGGGACCCCTCTTGTTCAATCTCTACATGCTTCCATTAAGTCAGCTGACAAGCAGCAATAATGTGTCCTACAACAATAATGAAGATGACACTCAGATCTATGTGTCACTGACAGCAGGTGAACATGGGCCTGCAGATCCACTCTGTCGCTGCACTGAACGGATCAGTGTGTGGATGCAAAACAACTTTCTCCAGCTAAACTCAGACAAAACTAAAATCACTGTCTTTGGCCCACAGAAACAAAGAGAAAGTGTTATCAGTCAGCTTGAGACTCTCGCTCTAAAACCTAAAAGTCAGGTTAGATATCTAGGGGGTAATAATGAACTCAGACCTGAACTTTAACAGCCACATGAAGTCAAAAACATCAGTGTCTAAGCCAGACTTAGAGAGACTAATCAATGTCTCCAGCAGGTTAGACTACTGTAACGGCCTGCTCACTGACCTCTCTAAACGAGCTGTAAGACGGCTACAGCATATCCAGAACGCTGCTGCTCGAGTCCTGACTAGAACCAGGAAGTACGACCATATTAGTCCACTGCTCAAGTCTCTGCACTGGCTTCCTGTCGTTCAGAGAATTGACTCTAAAACAGCTTTGCTTGTGTATAAGTCTCTTCATGGTCCAGCACCAAAGTACATCTCTGACATGTTAGTGCCATATGAACCATCTCAGGCTCTGAGAACCTCAGGGAGTGGTCTCCTGCTGGTGAGGCTGCGTTCTAGTTTTATGCAACTAAAATCTGGAGCTGTCTTTCAGAAGATGTGAGACATGCCTCAACTCTGACAAAGTTCAAATCAAAGATGTTTTACAGATATGGAAGTGGAAACAATGATCCCAAGAGGTGCATTAGACCTACCTTTGTTTTGCTCTTTGCACAGACAGAAAGGCTCTCTGTACAGCTTTTATGGACATGGACTCCACAGTCTGCAAACAACACATGATGACCATTAGAAACAAGCATTTTTGTGTGTTCATCTCAGGAGTGAACTGCAGTCTGTTAAAACAGTACAAACTCCAACAGCACTCAGATTTTATAGTCTGTGAGGATAAACTGATCCTACCATCGCTCTATGTTTCTCTCTCTGCCTCTCTCTCTCTCTCTGCCTCTCTCTCTCTCTCTCTCTCTCTCTCTCTGAGTGAATGCTGGGAGTGACAGGGCGAGTGCTTCGGAGAGCGTTTGTTGGAAGTTTGTGTGTATTTTCAAGCCTTTTTGGTTTTTCTCTGTTACTGGCTGTTGGTTCATGTGTTTGTGCTTAACTTCTCTGTCATCAAATCTTTTCTTGGCATCTTTTTGAGGAGCTTTTTCCTTGTTTGTGTGGCGGCGGCTACCGCCGCCGCAGCCACACGGTTGAACATGGCGAATAGCTTGGAGACGCTGACTCGCCGACACGCCGTGAAACTCTCTCCGGCTGTGGGTGTTTCAGTTGAGGAGTGTGGTTTGGCTGTAGGTGAGGTGGTGGGATATGATAGTGTGAAGTCTGCCTCACGGATGAACAGTGCGGTTGTTATTTTTCTTGATGACGTTGACAAAGTGAATCAGGTGCTTGAGAGTGGAGTTGTGATCCAAGGAACACTGACTCCGGTGTTTTCTCTTGTCAGCCCCGCTAAGAAGGTGATCATNACACACACACACACACACACACACACACACACACACACACACACACACACTCACTGATGCAACAGGCTGTAAGACTAATGGAGAAGTCAGCAGAGGGGCTCCTCCTCTCATGCTACCACTTATGGAACGAATACACCCACCCACGCATGTCAGCGCTTCCTGCTATAGTGACTGTACTTAAATAAACAGTCTGAGTCGAGGGATACAATGCAAGTTAGTTATCTACATCACTGATCCAACATCAATGTTCTGTTCTGCCCTTTAACTTGAACAAGAAAACTCAACTAGCTCCAGTCTGAAACTCTCCAAATGTGCCGATGTCAATCAGAACAGAACTGAGTGCACCTCAAAACAAAAATGTTAAATGAGTCATCATTTTATTAACTGCATCACTTTGAAATTTAACAGTGGGCCATTTTCTCTTATGTAAAAATGAAAACTCATAGTTAAAATTTACTATATGAAGTGGTTCTTTGTGTGTCCCATTGAATATTTGTTTCCTGTTAAATTGACCAAAATTGAAACAAAACCCTTAATCCTATTGTTCAATATACCCAATTTAGTTTCAGCCTGAATACACAGTTTGCAAAAGTTAATTTTGGTTTAATTTTTACAGTCATATTTATTGCATGCATATTGTAATATCAATAAAGTTTTGAGAAGATACTTTATCAAGAATAAATTGCATTTCATTTCATTAAAAGAGGATATATATATATATGTACATCTATGTATACACAGGCATTTGTGTGTACATATATATACATATTTATATGTGTGACGATCCCAGGACCCGGCCGGGACACAAACCAGGGATCTTCTAGCTGTGAGGTGACGTGGTGCTAACAACCGAGCCACCATGCAACCCTGTGCAGAGAGTCCTCTTTTGTAAATTATTAATAACAATTTGCATTTTCCCACAACTACAGCAAAATCCAGATTTACCAAAGATTTACTATGCTACTAGCGTCTACTTGTTTTGTACAGGTTTGAAAATAAAAGTGCTTTCCTGCTAAATCTGCAAACCTTTAACTGCAATATTCAGCTTGCTGATGAAATTGAATGTTGATACGAACATAACGATTTGTACATATACATCACAAAAGTGAAAGAAAAAAACAACAAGGAAGAAGTACAGAAGATGAGGAAGAATAAAAAGAGGATGAGGGCAGAAGGGGGAAGAAATGAAAAAGAAGAAGGGAGAAAAGTGTTATGGTGAGCCAAGACCGGTAACCAGCGAACTTAGCTGTCATGTATCGGAGAAAGGAGGGACATAAGAAAGAGGTGTAAGTCTCACTGTTGCACAGGGAAGTTTCCTTATTGTGCAGAAGTTTGGTGCAGTGCTGACAGGCTGTGGAGGCAGGAAGACTGATGGGAATGAAGAGATGACCACTTGCACTCTTCTTTTCTCTCTCTTTGCTCTCTCGTTTAGTCTCTCCTCTCCTCTCCTTCTCTTTCTCCTGAAAGCAATAAAAGAAATACAACAATAATAAAGTGGAAGAATATTATGGCTACAATATATATTTTTGTCTCATCAAATGATTTAAATACCTGTTACTTACAGTATACAACTGAAGTGAGTACATCTCTGTGCAAAATTACTTAAATGTCAAATGATTAAAAATCATATCACCTCTCAGTAACTACATTATTTCTAAGCTGAAGATAAGATATGCCTTTATTTATCTCACAGTGGAGAAATTCACGTTGTTGGTAGCAGCATTAAACAGAGATACACATATACGAGAGAAAAAAAATAAAAAATGTACATATAAATATAAGAAATAGTGAACAGTACAGTGGTTCCTCTTATGATCAAAATCTAATACTGTAGAAAGACTGTATTGAAAATCATGGCCTCAAAGTAGAAATTCATTGCAACAAAAGTGAATACACCTGTGATCACTGACACAGTGAAAGTGAATAACTGAAACAAAATGAAGGACATGCGTGGTTTTCCTTTAGCCAATTAGCATTAGCATGTTTATAATATGAGCTGAGTACTTTGTCAGGTTTGGACCCATTAGTTGTATCTAGCTGCATGTCTGCATCATGGTTCCACATGAAAAAAAAATTGCCAAGGAAACTGAAAAATCTGACTGCGAGACTTTACAAAAACAGAAAAAGGACACAGGAAGATCCCTGACCAACTAACAATCAGTGAATCACAGTTGCATCAGTAAATAGAGGCTATACAACGAGCCATAGTACCACCAATCAGAGCTACAGTGGTCATGTTCCTAAAATAAAACTACAGAGGGCGCTACTTGCAGAAAAATGTTCCAACCCCTTCAGCAAAGACCAGCTGAAAAAATAGTATCCAGAGAATGACAGAACACCTCTGCAGATATTTGAGTAACACTGGTGTCCTCCATGTTGGGGATGATTGAGTCTGTCATCAAAGTATAGATGGAAACACAAAGTATTGAAAAAATAACAGATCTCAGTAAAATAGTATTTTTGTTTCAAGGAGTTCCTATGTGGGGCCTGTATTTTTATATAAACTGTAAAAGTCATGCAATAACTGTGGGATGATACAATTTTGAATTAATGAACATTTAAGCAGTATTGTACAGTGGTGTGCTGTATACTGTGTTGCAGCTCAACACCAGCATCAACAGATAAAGAGAACAAACCTAACCACCATCATCACATGCACAAACACACACACAGTCGAGTCTTGAGCAATCCGGAGAACGAACCATGACAACTACTTAATTTACCAAAACCTTAACTTAAATTGAACTTATTGTCATCTTTACCCAAATCGTCTGTGCAAAATCCAAGGATTTATGATATAGGGACAAGCCACCACAATGTGAATAAAAACAACACACGTCACAATCTTCCTACCTCATCTGCTCTGCTATCCGGTTTCTCCTCTCTACAGTGCAGAGCAATTAAACCTCTTACTCAGCATGACTGAAATTGTCTTCTTGTCTCCTTCTCTCTGCTCCTAAATCTGACTGCCTGGGTTCACCTGTCATTGTCCGTGTGAATCCATGCCTTTCTCTGCCAGAGCATTCTGTTGTTGTCACTTTGATTCAGTCATTGTGCACAAACTGCTGCTACTCAGCTGTCTGCTGTCAAATCAGGAAATGAGCTTGCAACCATCTGTACATGCATACACAAGCCCCCCCCCCAAACACACACACACACACACACACGCACACACACACATGCAGAGTTCCTCTTTCATAGACTGCTGCAGTATTTTGCAGAACTCCTGTTGTCATGACAAAGCCACCGCATATGACAATTAATTGGTTTGCAGAATTACTCTTTTATTGGGGGGCAGTATTTTGATCATTATATATTTAATCAACCTTTTCATTCTTTTTTCAGATGGCTTTGGATTCTATAGTTTAGTAAATATTTTCACCTTATCAGTTCTATTCTAATATTGTTATTCATGCATTTGAATGTTTGCTTTCACTTCACTTTTCATTTAGTTTCAGATCTAATTTTGGTTTGCTGGGTAAAGGTTTGCTGTGTTTGAGACGTGCAAGTGAAATGCACAAGCTCACATTAAACTAGCTTGAAATTCGACTGATAAACTCTAAATAATCTCAAATGGTCCATTCATTCCTAATGATGCATTATTACATGTACTTCACATGCAAACTGGTTGCAGCCTTACTGACGGTGTCACAGTGCCTCCCAGTGGCATTCAAGTCGACAAACGTCAATAAAGTTCTGAAGAAAATGATTCACTGTCATATATAAAGTGCCAGAAAATAATGACAAATTATGGTGTTGAAGTTTATGTAATATTAATGTTTGACTTTACACTATGTGCAAGACAAAAATGCTAATCAAAAAATGGCAGCAGGCAAGTGGGCCAGACTGGGGTGGTGGTAGCTTTCCTGCTATCTGCTTTCACATTAGCATTAGTTGATGAAAGCCTGCAGAATGCAAAGACACATTGTTTTAATCTTTCAGCATGGACAACATACATCCCTCTTGAAAAAATACAAGTGAGAGCAAATGTTTTAGATACGGGAAAAGCACTAAATGTCAGTGCCTTAAGCCTAATAATCCTAATTTTTCAGTGGAATAGATGTCATCAGTGTGTTTGAAGTGTATCAGCTGACATGTGCAACAGACTATAGCGCGTGGCAGGACAACATAAGTATAGAGTTTGCAGAAGAGCAGTGGCAGGAACAGGTCTTGGGACAGATTTATAACTTTTAAATGTGTTTAAAATGTGGCCTCCTACAAATTAAGATAATACATTGCTTACATTGGTCTAAATAAAAACGCAATAAAATGTTTATTAAAATAAGCCCATTTATGTGAACACTGTGGGGCTGCACCAGCATCATTAGCTCATATGTCTTGGAGTTGGTTGAGGCTATCATATTATTGAGCCACATTTTACAGACAATATCAATCATTTTGCATAGCCCTACTGATTTAGATGCTTTGGTAACAGTTCAAGGAATTATAGATCGAGTAATAAACAACATGGATTATGATCTGTTAGTGATTTGAAGAATGAGCTTAATGAACTTGAAACAGGAAACTGCAAAGACATATCCAAATATAATGAAGGACGTAATAAAATAAGGACATGTGCTTCTTTTTAAGCTATTTTTCTGGCCTTTATTAGATAGAACAGTCGAGAGAGAGACAGGAAAGTGGGGAGGCCGCTGCATCGGGGACTATAGCCCCTGTACGTGGGACGCCAGCACAACCAGGTGAGCAATAGCGGTAGCCCGAAACGCGCTTCTTTCGACTGATTTGTTTTACTTTGCTCTCCTTGTGAAGCACTTTGGATTTTAAAAAGTAAATAATAATTATGACTTTGATTCACTGCGATCACAATTTGTCAAAGCCGCTCAGATCCTCACAATGCCCATTTTTCCTGCCTACAACACATCAACTCCAAGAACTGAGTGTCCTAGTATATCCCACCCACTGACAGGCAATACTATAATGAGATAATCAATGTTATTCATGCATTTGTTAGTGGTTTCAATCTTGTGGCATATTGGTGTATATTTGACACTCAAACCTCGCAAAATGTGACCACATAACATCTTATGAAGGCCAAGTTGTGTTATTGATTTTGCAGATTGGTTTTAGTGAGGTGGTCCTCTCACAGAGCAGTGTGAAGTCTGTGAAACCCGTTTTCTCACCTTGCCTTTCTTGCTCATCTTGCTGCGAAGGTAGCTGAATGTTCGACTGATTTTCGGTCCTCTTTCCTCAATGTCACTCCGAAGAGGGCCTGGCTCTTCTGAAATACTGACAAACACACAGAGCAATGATGCAGCCATTCTGCACATTTAGATTTTTTTTAGAATTTAATACTCTTGCCAGTGGATAATATCAATCCCAATGTTTTTCTAAGTGATTTAAAGTGGATACATCAATACTACAGTTGGTGGCCTGATGGAAATAGTATAACTGCATTATTACTAAATAGTTGCCGCATAAGAGCAGGGTACAGACTTTGTTAATATCTTCTGTGGAGAGGTATTGTCTTTTTTGATTGCTCCTTTAGGTCTTCAGAGTTTGGTTTAAAAGTGAATAGTAGTAAAATAACATTAGTTTTATCAGTGTCTCTTCCTACCTGTATCCCAGTGACTCAGAGTTGCCGGACAGTGAGCTCACCCCTACAGGAAGCACACAGGACAAACATCACTTGATCAGTCCAACACAGCTGCCACACTATGCAGTCACACCACATGTTTCTGTGATACCTGCAACAAAGTCTTCAAAGCCAAATTCATAAACTGAAATCTGGTCAATAAAATACAGTATTGGCATCACAGAGACAAGGCTCATGTATGAACTGCCACATCACAGCAGTGAGGGTGGAAAAAGCTGTTTTAGTGCCATTATTAAAGAGGTGAACAAACAAAGAGGAGAGGATGTGGGCTCCACACGATTGTCAGTTGCCAAAGAAATACAGGAGATAAGTTGTACAAGATCGCAACACTTTCAGCATAGCCATGTTGAGAGACTCACTGGATAGATTTCGGTAGTTCAAGGATGACAATGACCAACTTGACTCTTGTCATATGAGTTTCGGAGGCTGTCTGGTTGGTGTATTTTTATGTCTTGAAGTCTATGTGCTATGCTACAGTTAGCTTTACGTGTCTGTCTATGAAACACACTAATTAATCTTTTCTTCCAACTAAAAGTAACCCTTGGTTTGACAGCAAACGTGCCCATTTTCTTTATCTGTTTAAAAAAACATCCTTTGAAATTAAGGTATCCAATGGTTAAGGTTTGGTTAATATAATAAAAATGGTTTAATTTTAGTAGAAAAACCACATTAAGGCAGTGTTTTTATTCTGCTTATCAGTATTACGCTTTAAAGATCAGTAAGTGTTCATGAGATTAATACAGAGACAAAACACCCCTGTACATTTTCATAATCCTCACTACTCCTCATATCCAAATAAACAGATTCTTTTAGTTTAGACTTTCACAGACAAATACAGCAGGGAATGTCTTTTTGATCCATCTGAGTCTGCAGTTCCAGACGCATGGGAATGTATTCTGGTGAACACTTGTTTTGGTGAGTAGTATTACAGGATACCATGCTGACAGAATAGACACAGGACTACAGTTACGTCATCATACTTACTCCCTCCCTCCTCCTCATCATCATCACTGGAGGAGGAGCCAATAGAAAAGTGGCGTCTACTTTTGGGGAGGAGCGAGGAGATACCAAGAGAGAAGCTGATTCGTCGCTTTGATCGAGGAAATCCATGCACTAAAAAGCATCAATGGGTGTGCCAGGATGAAAAGATGAACGAGTAAAATCTTCATCTTACTAAGGAAGTTTAAGAGTCTCTACATTTAACTAAAACCACAGGAGGGAAAGTGGATGAAATGGTGAAAGGAAATAAAAAGATCAAGAGCCATAATTAAAAAAAGAGGTTCGTTAAGCAGAAGCTTACCATCTATGTCCCGGTGGCTGATGGTGAGCGTGGAGAAGGATTTGGTGACAGTTTGATGATGAATTATGGCAGGACAGCTGGTTGTCGCTGACAGTACCTGATGCAATGTCTTTCAACACAAAAGGGAAAATTAACAAGTCCATTCAGACAAAAAACGTAACAGAAATTAAGCCTGAAGACCAATAGTCCAGTGAGAAAAAGCTGAAATAATGTACAGTATAAAATATTAGTGATTACACTCCTGTGCAATGTCACCTAAACGTTGAATGATTCAAAACTGTATCACCTTACAGCAGCTGTATTACTACCAAATAAGACCATAGAGTATTTGCTCTTGTGTGAAATTAAGAACAGTTTAGATTTCCTACATTACGAACACGGGCCCCATAGTCGGAACAAAATCCAACAAAAGCAATTACATCTTTCATTCCTGAGAATCACATCTTTTATTTTGTTCAGTCCTTTACATGTTGGCCTTCTTTTTAGATGACAGTCTCAATCCTCCTCTGCATGGAGAACATCAGTGTTGCACAAACTTCTGGAGAGATGTTCTGCTATTGTTTAGAGACTATTTTTTTTCAGCTGCTCTTTGTTGGAAGGGTTTTGTTACTCGATTTTTCTCTTTAAAATACCGCAGCTTTGTTTTGCTAGATTCAAGTCAGATGACGTACTTGGACAGGTCACAGTTTTCACTTTTTCCTTCTTTAGAAAACCTTTTTGGTAGTGTCCTTTGGATCTTACTGGAATATTCCTTCCTGCCAAGTTTCCACAGACTGGTAGTTACCTTGTCAGCCAGTATTTTGGTAGATCCACAGACATTTAGGGTGCCATCTGTAAATGTCATTGCCCAAACACCTTTTGTACCCATGCAGCATCCCGCTACCAACTTTGTGCATCACTGTCAGGACTATGAATTTACTATTGTAGTCCTGAACACACTCATGTCAAACGTGCTGGACTTCATCTGAGCTGCACAAATGTGTCTTTCTCTGATCTGGCAAGTTATGTGCTCCCAAAATTAAGCAGGCTTGCTTTCATGTTCTTTGTCAAAGTTACTGTACATCTTACAGTTTTAAACCAAACAGTAAGCAAGCATTTTTTTTTCTCATTGCTGTCCATACAAGGGGAAATTATGCAACATCCTTCATACTGTCAGAGCTGTTACAGAAACCCCGTTAGCTAGACTGTGAAAGTAGCACACTGTCCATGGCGTCATTTTAGGAGGATAACCATTATAACTGATTCATGCTAATTGTTTTCAATCTGTATCTTCTGATTACTGCTGTACTGTGTTTCCACATAACTTCTGTTTCTTTCTGGATCCTTTTCCACCATTGTGAAGTCTCATAATCACATTTTTCAGTTTCTTTGGTAATTTTTTTCAGTGTGGAGCAATGACTTAGATGTCCAGATAGATACAGCCCATGGATCTAAAACTGTGAAAGATCTGGTGTTCGCAGCTCCTTTTATTACCATCTTCATGCAAGTAGGCTCATCAGAAATTATATATGTACTCAATTTTATGTCAGCGATCACACGTGTATTTACATTTGTTGAGTAGGTTAGGGCTCGTACTTTCAAAACAATCTTTCTATAGCATTTGTTATTGCTTGTAAGAGGAAATATTCCACTATTCAACTTCAAAATAATGCAGTTATTTAGAGCTGATACAACTGTAAATCAATTGACATTTAGGTGATATTGCACAAGAGTGTACTCACCTGTGTTGTGTAATATACACACATAAGAAGGCATGCAGGGGTGCATACCTGGCTATCAATGCTACTGCCATCTCCTTCCTGCTCTTCCTCGGTGAGAGAGACCAGAGAGCCTCTGTCCTGGTTATCAAAGTGTAAACTTGTGCCTGCAGCCCTTTCCTCTGGATCACTGAAGCTGGGACATTGAGTTTGAACCGCTGTCCTCCCCACCTCCAGACCTTCCAGACTGGAGCTGAATGAAAAGAGACAGCATTAACTTATAGATGACTTGATTTCATAATGCTCCTCTGCATAGCGTTGTGCTGTTTTACTTTACTGAATGTGTGTATTTTACATTATAGTTAGAGATGATGTTTGAAGACACTACCCTGATGGAGACTGAAATGCTGCTAGAAAATGAACTGTGTACTGCTGTTGACCTTTACTATTTACCTTCGGTTGTCTATTTGCTCCTGATTAGGACAACGTAGGTTGGATGGACACCAGCTCATACTGGAGAAATAGAAAGATGAAGAATAAATGATCATAAAAATGTGAAAAAAGGAAAGGGAGAAGAGATGAATAAAAAAGTGATGATTAGACGTTTGGTCAAAGGGATGCTTTAAGAATGAGGTGGAACAATGATGATGGTCTTATGATAAAAGATATATGTCTGAACTATTCATTTCTTGGACTGTCTTGGTGTCAGAGAAGAAGGTTGGCTGCCCTGCTTCACCCCTTCAATCCTCACGGCAGTAATGTAAAGACTAATAAGTAAGAGGAGACTGAGTTACAGAGAGGCAAAAAGAAAAAAAGTGCTGTGAAACAAACAGATGTTTGTCTCCAGCTGCTGAGGTTTTGATAAGCTGAACCTGAAAAACATCACTGCACCACATTAGACTGAATTAAAGGAGATTTTTCCCTATCCACCTCAGACTGTTCAGGACTGCTGCTTTCATTTCATTCATGAATCTTTCCCCTGGATCCCCTGGCATGGGCCAGTGAGTGTGTATGTGTGAGTATGACACAGTCACTGCACTCTTGTAATAAAAGACAAGAAAGCAAACCACACCCAAACACTTGATTCTGACTGCAAAGAAGGAAAACAATGATATCACAACATTTATATATTTTTTCTTTCAGACAGGTTTTTGAAAGACATGAGGGAATAAAGAGCTGAATTACCGGCTGTCTCATGTGGACATCTCATTTGGCTAAAAAATATATGATGTGGCAGTAAATAAAGAAGAATGTGATCATTTCAACAGACAGACAGGGAGGTGAAGCTAAAGCAGAATGAAAAATGTACCTTCTCCTGTGGAGGGGGGGCTTGGCTTTCTTCACCTCCTCTGACAGGCTCTTCAATGAGCTGAGAGAGGGGACAGATGGACAGTTAGTGGAAACAAAAGGGAGGGATACACTGTTAAGCAAAAGAGCTTTTTACATCTTCAGTGCTGAACTGAATAAATAATGCTGGTGTGATGTTGTTGCTGCTCTCATTGTTTACCTCCAATACGTTCAAGTTAAAACATTTCCTCCATTGTCCTATCACATCTGTACATCACTGGGTGTAAATGAATCAACAGTAATATTGGAATGCAGTTGAACCTAGTTTGGTAATTAACACACACTGAAGGAACCCAGTGCATTATGCTCCTGAGTGTTTAATGGAGAAGATAACCTTGATATAGCGCAGAAAGAAAACCAATAGCTTTCCTCTTCATAATATGCATTGGTGTCAAACTTGATGTGTCTTTGCCTTGACATGCAACTACAGCAATACAAACATCCTGAGTGGCTATTCCTGCCACAGTTTAAGTTAGATCAAGCATCAAATAAGAACATTTTGAGTGATGATGATTGTGGAGTTTAAACTGCAGTGATACAGTGTGCTTAAACATCTACAGCAGGCTGAGAGATAAGGAGTGTGAGGTGAAAACAACGATAGAGATGTGAGATAAACAAAGAGAGATGCTGTCAGAACACCAACAACTATTCACAAAACTGTTTCAGAAGTCATGACAGCATGTCCCCACTATATTAAAGCTGTGGATTTGGGGCACTTTGTGGTCCTGTTATTCTCACACTCTCTGGGGCA